GTGCTGGCGCTGCGGCCGAAGGTCTGGGTCCGCCGGGGTTTGGCCCCGCGCGTGGCGGGGTCCCCCGCCTCCGAGTGCGCGAGCTTCTTCGTATAGCACTGCGGAGCGTGGATGTCAAGCGAGGACTCGCCAAGCGGCGGCCCGCCAAGGCCGCTGTTCCCCAGGCCCATGCGTGAACTGGTTATAATTTTGTCACCATATTTAGTGGTGTGCATTATGCTGAACTCGGTTCGATCGCGGCGACTATGTGGGAAGTTTGCTCTTCCCGTTGAGGCAACTGAAACTTCCAACGCAAGATCGTCTTTTAGGTTATAAATAATATAGATCAAACGTTTAGTAGCCTATAGCTTATTGACTAGAGGCTTTAAAACTTGGAGGAAAATAGGGAAAAGTAAGATATCTTAATATTTCTGAAAGGCTTGGACAAAAGCATTAAAGGGAGGGGGAGGGGAGGGGAAACAACCCTAAGGATCCCTTTGTCTCCGCACCACATTTAAAAAGGAAATTGGTAATCATAAACCCAAACAACACAAATTTTGATCGGTACACTATTCCTTTAATCTATGCTAATAAAAGGGAAAAGTAGTCTTAAATATTGAATGAAAAGAAGACGGGGTACGTGTTTCTTTCACTATCTATACGCTAATATATTCTACGCTATTGTTGTCCACAATGATTACTAAAGTATAAACGCATCTGAGGGCGTGGGAAATGGGAGAAACACAGCACAAACAGCATGGCAGCGTCCCATACGATACGGAGTGGACCATCGCTTTTACCCCTCCCCAATGCTATAACCCCCCATTTGCCATCCTCCCACTTTTGCGCTAGGCGTTTTATTGGATTGCATTAGGTCCAGGGTTTTTGACGGTAGACGGGTACTTAGCGCCCTCCAAAGGACGAATACGAAACTGCTGGCCAGGGTAAATTTCTTGCGCTAGTGCCTCAAGACCGTCGGTGCGACCGAACCCAGGCTCGGCCTTCGCGCGATGAACGCCAAATCGCTTCGCATTCTCCTCCTCCGCCTTCTCAGCGGCCTTGTCGGAGGCCTCGATCTCCTCGAAGGCGATATCGAGCTCGTGCAAGGGCGGAAGGGCGCGCTCCCCACACTCGACCTCCGCAGCCTGTCGGATGGTGTGGGGGGTGTAGACCAGCCGATCCCAGCTCGCGAGCCGGTCAAACAACGTGCTGCGGCGGTTCACCTGGTCCAGCTCGAAGGTGAGGATGTAGTTATCGTCAAACCACGGGTTCGGGATGATCCAGGGAGCGAGCTTGCCAAAAAAGCGCCCGAACCCGCGATAGCAGGGGAAGACCCAGCGAGGCTCAAAATGCCGCGCGATGACCTGGAAGGCCTCGAGGTGGGGGAAGGTCTCGGGGCCGCCGAGGTCGAAGCGGTAGCGGACGGCGCGGTGGGACCGCGCGCATCGCACGACACTCCGCGCGGCGTCCACCACCCAGGTGGGCTGGACCAGTGTATTGGGGAAGACGGCGGGGTAGACGTACCGGCCCAACCCGCGGTAGCGATAGTTCCGGCCGTAGAGCGGGCCAAAGCGGAGGAGGGTCGCGTCGGGGTGGTTCGCCCCCACCGCGTCCTCCGCGCGCGCGCGGTGGTCGACGTAGTTCGACTCCGAGGCGAAGGTGGCGTCGAGGCCCGTGGTGTAGATCACCCGGTCCGCATGGACGCTGCGCGCCGTCCAGCTCACATTCGTCGCGCCGGTGAAGAAGACGTCGAAGTGGCTGTTGTTCGCGTACTCGGCGTGGTAGTCGATGGCGAAGATGAGGGTGTCGCTGCCGTTCGAGGCCACGTTGACCTGGATTCGGTCGGTGACGTCGCATTCGTGGAGCTCGATTTTCTCGGGGTAGCGCTGGAGGAGCTCGTCGAGGTCGGAGCCATGCGGGATGAGCGTCGGGTATCGGGTGCAGGCGCGCACGCACTCGATCATGGGGTGCTCGCAAAGCTCCCGCACGATTTCGGCCCCGAGGTAGCCCGAGGCGCCGAAGACGGTCACCCGCTTCGCGGGCTTCGGGTTGAGCCGCCGCCGCTCGTGCGGGAGGCGGACCGCCGGGTTGGGCAGATGCATCGCCGCCCAGTAAGGGCCGCGCTCATAGCCAAAGCCACCACCAGTTGTCTTTGGCTTTCGTGTGGGGTACATCTGTTTGAGATCTTTGCGGTCGAGAAACATTGATTCGGTTTGGTGGCCGTAGGGATCCCAAAAAAAGCGCCCGCCCGGCACCCTGAGAAGTACCGAGCTGGCCTTCCTTGACCTCAGCTGCCACATGAAAAGTCAGAAATCTGCAACAAGACTACAACAGCGACTACTACAATCACTACTAGAATGATTCTTTGTACAATACCGCCTTTTTTTTTATGCGTGATAAGAGAAAAAAAATAAACCGTTCAAAGCAAGGTTTCGAATTGGTGAAGTCACTCCATTGATACTGAAGATGCATTTTTATCCTTACGCAGGGGACTGCCGCGAAAGTAGATAGAATTAACAGAGTGAAAAAAGTCAAATAGATCTTTCTTTTGACCCAATTGCACTAATAAATTTACATAAACCGATATTAAGTGAAGTTAAAAACTATGATTTTGTAGGTACTCTCATATCTGAGAAGTATTTGTATTTATCATTGTTAAGTAATAGATCGATATTATCTCTTAAAGGTGTGATAAGACTAATTCCCTTTTTGTCAAGCATGGAAGTGATTGAAACAGAATTATTATTCATTCTCAAAGTGAATTTCCCAGTCTTCCCCTATCCATAGCTTTGTGTTGTGAACAATAACAGAATTTCCTACGCGCTCAAACCTCATAGGTTTATTGCAAATTTTAAGCCCTAGCCCTTTACTTGTGGCTGCCATACGATATATCCTCAACGGTTTCCTGTTATACCCCATCACAACAATGCGCTCGACAACGTTGGGAACTGTAAAAGTGCTGTTTGTGGATGCCCTTGAATAATTGGTGCAGCGAAGGTAATAGTTTGAGAATTCAAAGAGTCGATGAAATGAATCACCCCGTTTGTACTGGAAGGTAATACCGTCATCGAGATAAAGCTCGCCACGGCTTTCCCCCTTGGCATTGAGGGCAACATAAAGCGTAAATGGATCGCCTCGGGCGGCGTAAGTATTGCGGCGGAGTCTAAGCTTAAGGGGTACAATATGGCCGCCGCGAACGAAGAGTGGAATGCTTCCCATTGTTACTGGCAATGAATACGAACCACGATTTGTAATAGCTTCCCCGGTTGAGTATTCATACCATATTTCGCTCAAGGGCAAACGCACCGTCGTCTCTGTGGCTTTTCGATGTACAACTGGTGAAACCAGCAAGGATGGTCCAAACATAAACGTCGCTTGCTCCTCCCACAAATCATTTTCATCCGGGAATTCAAAAAAGAGCGGCCGTAGGACCGTATTCCCATCACAGTGGGCTTTGTAAAAAACTGTGTAAAGGTACGGAATGAGCGCGTAGCGTAGCGCAAGTGCATTGCGAATATGATGTTGTGCATCTTCCGAGAAGGTCCATGGCTCGCGGCGCTTCGTCTTGTGATTCGCATGGCTCCTGAAGAATGGGTAGAAAATTCCTGACTGCATCCAGCGCACAAAAAGCTCTTCTTCGGGATCCAAAAAAAAGCCACTAATATCACTTCCACAGAAGGGATAGTTAGAGACTGATAACGAGAGCAGCTCTGCAGATGTGCTTTGAAGATGATCCCAACGCGCCATATTATCCCCGGTAGATACTGCCGCGTACCGCTGGGAGCCAGAGAAGAAGCTACGCGTGAGGAGCAAAGGCCTCCTCTTCGCCTCCACCCCCTCGTTGATAGCCTTCACGGCGCCTTTATACGCAGATATAATCGATAGCAATCCATACATATTGTGCAGATATCGATGTTCCACGCTATGACCTTCGTCATCTCTATGCACTGTCTCCTTTCCCATTGTTCTGCGAGGCCCATTCAGTACCGAGGGCTCGTTCATCCCAACCCACGAGTAAATTGGTTCACAAACCTTTCCAAGGGATCGTTTGTCGTAAAAAAAACGCGCATACCATTCTCGAGTGTGAGCGTTGAGGAAATCTGGCCACGAGCATTCACCTGCCCAGCATTCTCCCTTGTAAACGCTACCGTCGGCGTTTCGGACATAATGATTCCCCTTCTCTAACTCGTGGTAAACGGTATAATTCTCCTTTTGCTTTACCATCGGGGGATAGAGCACGACCAGTCGACGCCCCTTCGAGGCAAGCGCATTTGGAAGGAGCTCCGGATCAGGATAGGTGCGAGAATTCCACGTAAAAGATTTCCCACTATCGGTGTGCTCGAGATCCAGCCAGAGCGCGTCGTAGGGCATGTTATGCTGATCAAATCCCTCGTCGATGGAAAGAGCATCCTTGATGTTGAAATAGCCTACAAGCGACTGGTGGTAGCCAAGAGCAAAATAAGGCGGAAAGACGGTTGGCCCTGTAAGATAGGCGTGCTGGCGCTGAACTTTCTTAGGAGTAGGTCCTGGTAAAAAGAATAAATCTAAAGGGCCGGTCTCTGCATTCCATTCACAACGAGGGCTATCCCCATGACCATTCCCTCCCATCACAGTTACGTTGAGCTCTGCGGCGTTAAGGAATAACATTCCCGTAGTAGCCCTCACCGAGTACGCCATGATGAAGGGGATGGCGCCGTAAAGCGCGCTGGTGCTATTCAAAGGGTATTGAAAAGCGTCGTGGTTAAATAATTCGTAGGTATTTCCAGGGCGTAAAGGCAAATCCGCCGCGTGCGCCGCAAGCCCGTACATCGCCTTGGCCGAAGGAAACGTGGCGCTTAGGGTGGCGCGCGGAGCGTGCTGAAGATGCACCGTTGCGACCACCAGCGGGAGGCCGGCGCACGTGTAGTTTACCATCACTCTGAACCCTGTCGCAGAGAGGCCAAGGGCCAGTTCACAGTCCCCGTGCGGGATGACAGAGGCCGGGCCCGCCGGGGAGGCGTTCCGCCCCTGCGTCGCCCACGGCTCCGGCCCTGCGACGAGGCTGTGGGGGACGGTGAAGGACCATCGCGTTGCCGGCCGCAGCGTCAGGCGGAGGATGCCGTCCCGGTAGGGGGTGACGTACAGCGCGGTGTCCCCTCCCGGAACGCGCAGGACACGGAGGGCGTGCGGGACGTCGGGAGGGGGGGTCGCGGACGTGAGGGCCAGGCTAAGGCCCAGTAACGCGAAGAAGAGAAGGCCGCCGTGAAGGCGCATGGCCACCGAGGACTTGGGCTTTTTGTGAGGTGTGGTCTCTTTGGTGGAGGATGGACAGAAAGAAGAATAGGATGATTGCGATGGATCAAATTGAACTCCAAAATAGTCAATGATTCCAAAAAAAACTTAGTTTTTGATAGACAAATTAAAAAGACAATATATAGAACGAAGGTGCAAGACGCTACATTGGGAATACCATTATGGTATAAATAGCTGTAATGATGGCAGCACAACCCACCCTTCCTACAGGCTTAAACGTGATAAAATAAACAGCAGCAATTACGTGCAAAAAGGGAACAACAACAACAATGAATGCCGGCGGTAATCAATCTCACAATAGGGAAGCAACTTCGACATATTTAAGGGAAGCAGAGTCGGCAAACATCTTATGAAATTCATTCAATAAGGGTGAGCTGCGATTGCTGGATCCTACAACAAAGGATGTGGCCGGATCTGGTTGCAGGGAGGCGTTGAGGTTGGCTATGAAATAGCTCAGAAGCCCCGTATTGGGAATCACAAAGGAAGCCGCCGTTCGGCTGCGTCGCTGATGAGCCGTTATGTACGACATCACCGACAATACCACGGTAATTGTGCACACCCTTTCGTTTTCATCGACAACTGAAAAATACCTTGTGTAGAAATCACTGATTGGGCGCAAAGTCGCTTCTAAATGAGTGGCGTTTCCGTGATGGAGGTAGGGGTAGTGATCTAAAAGGAGCACGCGGTAGCCGCGGTCCGCGTATGCCTTAATTTTTTTTGAAATCGCACTGAGGTGAGCTTCTATACTAGTATGTTCCTTTTGGAGAGAGATTTGAGTATCCTCTGTGGATACCGCGCCGTTAGCTTCGCGAAACCGCTTCCACACTATGGGATCAAAGTCTTGGATGTTGTTCAAAGAATCTTTCAACCTTGAAGGCAGAACAACATCGTCGATAAAGAAAATCGCAAGCTGTCGAGAGGCGTCGCTGAGCTGGGTCGTTTCCGCGCGCTCAGAAGAAGTGGCACCTCGGAAAATGTGATAAAGGACACGAGGATCCGGCCGCCACCAAAAGAGACCGTCCGCCGTCTGAATTGAGCGCTGCGCGTTCGCTCTAGGAAGCGAGGAACTTTTTGCTACCGATGCGAAATCGTTTGCTCCAACAATGAGATGCAGGGGCGGTGAATCAGCATGGGTTTGCATGATTTTATTGCGTATGTGGTCTATAATCACTTGGGATTGCCCGCCACCCTCCAGACCTCTTTTTTCTAACACCTGCTGCAGGCGCCGCGCGAGATCCTCGGCCGCGCGGTCTAGCATAGAGGATTCATCGGATCCATGTTTGAGGATTTGAGCGAGACTACTATGGTCGACTGTATCAGTCGTGGAGCTTCGGGTGCGTTTAGAATTATGAGAGCGTCCTGCGCTAACCGCAATCGCGGAGCCCTCTGCCATAGCCATACTTTCCGTTAGAGGACGATGCAGCACCGTTAAGCCTGATGGAATAAGTTTGTTTCTCGTTGGCTTATCCCACCGAACGAACAATTCGTACTCCTTCTGAATGTCAGAAGGTGGCAATGAAAGAGCGGCAACATCATTAAGGTTAAAGAAGCCTAGTTGGAGCAATATTTCACGGCGATTGCACACCAGACTGCCGGATTCCTTGTGCCGAAGAACGATTGGCGTTGAATCGGAGATACGTATAGGGGTTGTAGGCCGGCTACGAGAGCCCGCAAAGGCTTGTAGCGGAAGCCACAAATCCTGTGGTTTTACGCCTATTAAACTAGCAAACTCAGAAAGACGACAGTCTCGAGGAGCAGTATGAAGGCACATTGTTTAACAGTATATCAACTTTTAATAAATTTAAATGCATACACTGGTTAAACATCAACACCTGGAATTAAATAGAAAGTAAAGAGTAACCAACTGACGAAGTTATTATGACATAAAAGGGCATAAGGAAGGGTAGCTCTTTGCTGAATAAGATAAATGACAACATAAATAGAATTTTTTTTGTCATAACTTAACGATTGCAGAAATTTAGAGATCATAACAATAGGAAGATAAAGTTGATATGTATATATAAAAAAAACTTCCAATACTATCAGTCAGGATACGCAATAGTAATGGAATCATAGAAAGAGATATATAAAAAAGTAATAATTTATAGCAAAATAATGCAATGAAAAAAAAACATCAGAAATATTGGAAACACAGAAATGAATTGTTCCATCAGAATTTGGAATATTAAGATATATATAAATAAATAATTAAATATAAATATATATATATATATATTTGTAAAGTGCATCCATAATACTTTTCTTCCAGTTTTAAACTATATACCAACCGTTTGAGTCAAACAATTTACTCATTGAAAGGTTGCCAAAGCTTGTCGGTGTGCTCACTTCTTCATCCGTTTTTACGTCCAAAGATACCATATGGAAGACTATATCACCTACAGTTGTTGTAGATGTAGAAAGAGAGTCTTTGTCATCTTTGCCCGACAGACGATTGCACTTCACCAGCTGTGGATCCTTTTTAATATCTGCAGTAACCTCCGCAGGGGTAGCTGTATAGATGTTAAAAACGTAGGACCCGTGGGCGGTCGCATAGTTTACAGAAAAAGAAGGTTCCTTTTCTGAATTGCGGAAAATCACAACGCAGAAGGAATCTGGCGGTATCGTTGGCGGCGGGGCGCACAGACAGGGTGATGAAACAACATCGGGATGGATGAATTCAGCGACATCGCCTAAATCCAAATCCCCAAACCTGGAATCGTCCTCTGATGTGATTTCAGGCTCGATAAAGTGCAACGGTACATTACTACGGTTAGAAATTACCACAGGAATAATGGTTGGTTCTACGCTAGGTAACTCAGCCCTTAGTACTTTGATTATACTGTCACTTTCCTTAGTTTTTGACCTGCCCTCCGTTTGTTTGCCGTATAGTTTCAAGGCAATTTCCGCCAATTTATTATTTAATTCGTCAATAGAGTAAATTTCTGCCACAGTAGGCATCTCTCCCCCTGCAGCGGTGATAAGTTGATTGTCATAGATGGAATGGAATACCTCCCCTGTGAAGTGCTCCTGCTGAGGCTGCGAGGACGTTTTGGTGAGCAACGCACGAACGCTTATAGAGATTCCATCCGACATTCTCTCGAGATCGATGAACACCGTTGCCTGGTTATGTCCATCGGTAAAGAAGGAATGCATAGGAACTTTAACGGGTTGAGTTATTATCGTTTTTACACTAGCGTGCATCGCGGTTTGGGAGTTGCAAATTTTGCGAACCTCTTCAAGGTCCTTGAAGGCCTCTGAGGCGATAGTACAAAGCCGCTTCTTAGCCGCTTCACTTGACTCCTGGTCCGATTCCTGCCGTATCACCAACCTGGGGCACACCGCCATGCTCGGGTTGGACTTCTTATCAACATAGAAAAATATAATCAGCATGATATCATACGCCGAAAACTCATTTAGGCGCACTATATATGATATGGCGCCCCCGATGCAGTTCACACCGGACTCCCCAATGGCTCCAAACACACCAGCACTCAACGGCGGCACAGATTGTGGCGGCCGGAAGTCAAAAAAGGAGTTATGAAGAGAAGACGAAAGCAATTCCAATGGTACCCCCAAGCTAACGTTATCCGAGACGAAGTTGTTGAGAAGGGACAGAACGCAGAACGGAGTCGAGGAAAAGATGGAAACAAGCGAATTTCCCATGTTTTTCATGGTTTCCTCGCATTTCAATAAGGACATAATAACCCCGGGCGAGCCGCGCATGCCTTTTTTACTCCACGTCTCCTCCGTCGGTTGCAGGGGGATGAGTTTCAGCACATCCTGCAGTTTGAAAGCATAATCAAGGTGCTTCTCCACGATTGGCGTCACGTCAATGTTCTCGATTCCCGGGAGGTTGACCGGGGAGATCCCAGCCATCGGCTTCAGATCCGTTTCGTTTACCCTGTACATCATCCATAAAATCCAATCTCCGCGTGTGTAGAGATTTATCAGCCTCCCTGCAGCCACTTCGCGCATCTGCATCCATACATCCGTATCCACAGGTACCATGGCACCCATCAAAAAGACGTTATCAATAAGGTTCAAAGCCTTCACGCGATGGAGTTCCAAAAGACATTCGCACACAACTTTGCAGCCAAAGCTGAACCCGATGAGGGTTACCGGTCGGTAACCGATGTTTTTGTTTAATAATGCTTTCGCCAAATCGATCCCTGTGAATACGGCACGATTTGACAGCGTAGCGTAGGAGTTGTCAATCGCGCTGAATGTTTGGATGACATACCTGGGGATATACATCGAGCCCATGAGCGATTTGAAGGCGCGAAATCCACTGAAAATCGAGCCCTGCAGCAACTGCTTCTTGATGAGTCCTTTCACTTTGCCAAAGGCCTTTTTACTGACGTGGTCGGTGATATCGAACTCAAGATCGATACTCTTGCCAAAACGGTCAAGGTACTCGTCTTCCCATTGCACGACGTAGGTCTCGCTCCCGCTCACCAAACTTAGATCTTTTGACGCGTCTTTCCACAAAGCTACCTGCTGATCCTGAGAAGGACGCCGGGGATCGAAAATGGTGGTGTAGCCGCACACCCCCACGGTTAGCTTAGCCTGGGTCTGCACCACCAGGTTATCAATCTGACGCTCGACAAAGTCGTGCACACGGAGTTGGATAGTCTTGAACTTTTTAACTATCCGCACGTCAAGCGAGAAAAATAACCCGTTATCTAAGTTCACATCGAACTCGAGGGAGTCCGGCACCTTGGGCGTCAGGGACATTTTCCTTAATTTTCTAGACGTGGGCGATGCCACGATGGCGATACCTAATTTGTTCAAAGCGCTTATCTCAAATTGTAGGCGAACGTAGTAGACTTCAACAAGAGGATTATCGTTTGTATTGCGCAGTTCTAAGATGTAATATCCCTCGGCGCCGCGTGGATCCCAGTCTTGGTTAGTGTAAAATTTCAACAACGCGGTGTGCGATTCCACGACCTGAGACGGTACCGAGCCCTCCCAGGAAGAGCCATTGACAAGCGCGATCTTTCGCACGCACACTGTGTGCGTGGATAGATTCACAATCGCGACGCCGATTTTTCGTCGTCGCTTCACGTCGCTGTCATAGTCCATCATGCGCTGCGTGAGCTCCTTAATAGGGAAGGTCGCAGTGTCAGCGCTCACCGTTCCCGAGAAGGGGGTGAGTTTCAAATACGGGAATTCTCGACAGCGCATCGTCATTGTGATGCCGTGCTGGGTATCAGAGAAGTTCTCGGTTCGGATGCAGGACTCGAGGCGCACCTCCGCCCCGCGCGGATCCAGCGCGGCATCGCCGTCCTCCACAAAGCAGGCGAGTTCCCAGACCCCGAAGAAGTCGCGG